TGCAGGCCCCACACGGGGGATGGAGCCCGCCACCCGGGCCTGTGCCCTGACCGGGAATCGAACCCTGACCTCCTGGTTCCTAGGTCGGCGTTCAATCACTGAGCCACACCGGCCGGGCGAATCCAATGCTTTTTAGCCCCGTCTCTCGTGAGTGGCGTGCGAGTTGCATGTGGTTTTTCTTGTTTGTTCTGTTCGCAGGAACCTGCACAGACACCCCTGACGCCTGCACGTGTGTGACGCGCCTGAGTCTGTGCCCGCTGGGCCTCTGCAGAGGGAGGCTGCCGGCCGCGCCCCGCGGATAGCCCTCCGCAGGCGTGGGACGCTGCTGAGGCGATGGGCCGAGAATGTCCGAGCCGATACCTCGCCCGAGTCGCTGGTTCCAAAACACGTCTTTCTCTAAAAAGCCACAGACCTCTAAATTCCACCATCCGATGCAGCCGGTACACAGTCACCCCTGTTACCATTTTATAAATATATTTGTATTAATTTCAGAGGGGAAGGGAGAGGGAGAGAAACATCGATGATGAGAAAGAATCATGGATCGGCTGCCTCCTGCACGCCCCCTACTGGGGATCCAGCCCAAAACCTGGGCATGTGCCCTGACCGGGAATCGAACCGTGACCTCCTGGCTCATAGACAAAAAAATAACCCACAAAGCTCTAGATTCGGCCATGAAACCCAGGCCCTTGCTCAGTCACCGCTGCTAACCTTTTGTCCTGTAATTTTTCACGGTCGTTGTCCTTCCAGTTCAGGTGGGTTCGATAGATAGCCCATCACTAACCCAAACACCCCCGCAGCCGTGCCATGCCCGGGGGGACCGTGTCCTTCCAACCCGGCAATCGCCGAGGTCACCCGCGGACGTCCCCCTCGCCTGCTCCCTGGGATGTGCCCCGACCGGGAATCGAACCCGGGACCAACCTCTGGTGTAGCGTCGGGCATTCTGAAGCCTTGGGGAGACTCGGGGACCGAGGGCTTCCCCTTCTGTTGAGAGTCAGGCCGTCGGCAGGTGCAGAAGGCATTTGCCGGTTATGAACTCTGGTCAGTAATTGTGACCATGTTGGCGCTAACATCGTTCTTATGGATCCTGACGTGGAGTCTGTGAAAAAGACACGGTCGCGCCGGCCAGGCCTGGGCGCGAGCTGGTCCAAGGACCGTCACGGGGTGAGGGTGGGGGCCCGCGTCTCATGCACCAGAACCCGTGGACGACCACGAAAATGTCGCTGCCGTTTTCACAAAAGGACGGAGATCTATCTGTGCCCGCACGCGGCATCTTGGGAATCAAAGGAGAAGAGAAGTCAACTGTTTCTACCGACTTTGAAGCCTAGTCACCGCGTTGAGGACTGTGAATGCAATTTTTTTTGTTGTTTTCTGAGCACTAAGTTCTTGCACACAATCTGGCAAAGCAAAGCTTTAGGAGACGGAATGTATGCAGAACGTGCTATTCCCGAGGGTTTGTATTGGGGGGGAAATGATAAGAAAGTCATCTAACTAGGATCGTTTCGGGGGGGGGGGAACATCGTTGATAGTCAATGATTGTTTTTCGTGGGAACTGATGTTTCCGTGGGCCCCTCGGGAATGGGGGTTCAGCTGAGGTGACAGTTAGGGTGGGGGTTCACGTGAGGGGGCGCTGAGCACGCTGAGGGGTGGTTTTAGCTCCAGGATTGGGTTGGGTGAGGAGGGGAGCTGAGTTAGGGTGAAGGCTAGCGTTGGCTGTGGGACTTCGGGTGAGGGCCTGGTGAGGCGCGAGTTGGGTTGAGTTTAGATCAGGGGTCCTCAAACTTTTTAAACAGGGGGCCAGTTCACTGTCCCTCAGACCGTTGGAGGGCCAACTTATAGTTTAAAAAAAAAACTATGAACAAATTCCTATGCACACTGCACATATCTTATTTTGAAGTAAAAAAACAAAACGGGAACAAATACAATGTTTGTATTTGCATGTGGCTCACAGGCCGTAGTTTGAGGACCCCTGGTTTAGATTGAGACAAAGGCTGGGGTTAGTGATAGTGTCAGAGTGGACGTTGAATTGCTGCTGGAGTGATGTGGGACCAGCATTCATTTGTAAACCCTAAAGCTGATTTTTTTTAAAAAATCCTCAATCGAGGATACATTTATTGATTTTAGAGAGAGGAAGAGAGAGAGAGGGAGAAACATCGATGTGAGAGAGAAACTAATGGGTTGCCTCTCTGCATGTGGCTCACAGGCCGTAGTTTGAAGACCCCAGGTTTAGATTGAGACAAAGGCTGGGGTTAGTGATAATGTCAGAGTGGATGTTGAATTGCTACTGGAGTGATGTGGGACCAGCATTCATTTGTAAACCCAAAGCTGATTTTTTTTTAAATCCTCAATCGAGGATACATTTATTGATTTTAGAGAGAGGAAGAGAGAGAGGGGGAGAAACATCGATGTGAGAGAGAAAGTAATTGGATGCCTCTCGCATGCTCCCCGACTGGGGATCGAACTCACAACCTAGGCATGGGCCCCGACCGGGAATCGAACCGGCGACCTTTCTGTGTACCCAACGACGCTCCAACCAACTGAGCCACCGGGTTGGGTGAAAGCTACAGTTTTCAAAAATATGTATTTTTTTGTTGATTTCACAGAAGAAAGGGGAGAGAGAGAGAGAAAGAGAGAGAGAGAGAGAAACATCAATGATGAGAATCACCAATCAGCTGCCTCCTGCACGCCCCCCACTGGGCATGGAGCCCACAACCCGGGCCTGTGCCCTGACGGGGAATCGAACCCTGACCTCCTGGTTCCTAGGCCGACGCTCAACCACGGAGCCAGACGAAAGCTGATGTTTCATGGGCCTCTGTCCCTGACATCCCCCCAGTTACGGCTTTCGATGAAGTAAGTGACTGATTCTGCACTCATTGTCCCAGCTGCCTGTACTCATGGTTGCCTACAGCCCGCTGGCAGCACGGTCACGTGACTCATGAGCCATTGGCTCTGTCTGTGGACACGCCCTCTGGGCTCCCCGCTATTCCGTGCACCAGGTCACCTGTCTCGCCCTCCCCACCCCCCGCAGCCTCGCCACACTGTGATGAGCGCTGATGTACACGGAGGGGTGGCGGCGGGGGACAGATGGGTGTGTGCAAGGGACACACAAGCCCACAGACCACTGGCCATCAGTCCACACTTCATTGTTGAAGGTTCTTTTATTTTATTTTTTTTAATATATTTGTATTGATTTCAGAGAGAAAGGGAGAGGGAGGGAGAGAGAGAAGCATCCATGATGAGACACAATCACTGACTGGCTGCCTCCTGCACGCTCCACACTGGGGATCGAGCCCACAACCCCGGCCTGCGCCCTGACCGGGAATCGAACCCTGACCTCCTGGTTCATTGGTCGACGCTCAACCACTGAGCCACGCCGGCCGAGCGATTGTTGAAGGTTCTTAAGTTAAAGAGAGACCCTGTGTAAAATACTCTTTGTATATACGTCTAGGACTCAGAGCTGCGGTATTTTATGTTGTACAGTGTGTAATAAAGACGTGGGCATATATTTTTCTGAGTCACAAAATGTCTTATCGGTTCCCCTCTGCCTGTAAAGTTGCTGTTTCCCGTTGGCTACGATTGTATTTCTCATCGTTCAGAGGACATGCCTGCGTGCTGTATGTTACTACTGTTCCTACATCAGAAGAATGTCTCTCCTGCGTGACCCTTCGGTAACTCAGAAATAAATTTACTTCTACGATTCAGCGGCATCGGATGCAGGAGGCTTATTTGCGTTATGTGTTTTGGTTTTGGTGGCCTTGGTCCTGTCCCCGTGGCTGCCTGTGTGTGTGTGTGTGTGTGTGTGTGTGTGTGTGTGTGTGTGTATGCTTTTTTTTTTGTGAGAGAGGGGGAGGGAGAGGGAGAGAGATAGAAACATCAATGATGAGAGAGAATCATGGGTTGGCTGCCTCCTGCACGTCCCCTACTGGGGATCGAGCCTGCAACCCAGGCATGTGCCCTTGACCGAGAATCGAACCATGACCTCCTGGTTCATAGGCTGACACTCAACCACTGAGCCACGCTGGCCGGGCTCATTTGCAGTGATTTTGAGACTGTGTTATGCACCTCAAATGTCCCAAAAATGTGCATTCATCTTTCTTTCTTTCTTTTTTTAAACATGATTTTTATTTTATTTTGTTGTTGTTATTCATCCTCACCAGAGGATATTTTCCCATTGATTTTTAGGGAGAGTGGAAGGGAGAGGGAGAGACAGAGAGAAACATCGATGTGAGAGAGACACATGGATGGGTTGCCTCCTGCACACACCCCGACTAGGGCCCCGGGCCGGGGAGGACCCTGCAACCGAGGTCCGTGCCTTTGACCGGAATCGAACCCAGGACCCTTCCGTCCACAGGCCGACGCTCTATCCACTGAGCCACACCGGTTAGGGATCTTCAAAAGTATTTATATTTTTTATTCTTCTTAGAGAGGAAGGGAGTGAGATGGAAAGAGAGAAACATCAATTCATCGTCCCACCCATTCATGCATTCATCGGTTGATTCTTTTTTTTTTTAATTAATTTCAGGGAGGCAGGGAGAGGGAGAGAGATAGAAACATCAATGATGAGAGAGAATCATGGATCGGCTGCCTCCTGCCTCCCACACTGGGGATCGAGCCCGCAACCTGGGCATGTGCCCTTGACTGGAATCGAACCTGGGACCCTTCAGTCCGCAGGCTGGTGCTCTATCCACTGAGCAACACCAGCCGGGGCCATCGGTTGATTCTTGTATGTGCCTTGAGCGGGGATCGAACCTGCAAACCTGCAACCTTGGTGTATTAGGACAATGTTGTAACCAATTGAGCTACCCAGCCGGGGCCCGTTTTTTTGTTTGTTTGTTTGTTTTTCTTTCACTAAGGCACACATAGGGTCTAAGGCAGCGGTTCTCAACCTGTGGGTCAGCAACCTGTGGGTCGCGACCCCTTTGGGGGTCGAACGACCCTTTCACAGAGGTCGCCTAAGACCATCGGAAAACACATCTATAATGACATATTGTTTCTGTGATCAATCACTATGCTTTAATTACGGACAATGTGTAACAATGAAAGTACATCCTGCATATCAGATATTTCCATGACGATTCATCACAGTAGCAACATGACAGTGATGAAGTAGCAACGAAGATAATTTTATGGTTGGGGATCGCCACCACATGAGGAACTGTAATAAAGGGTCGCGGCGTTAGGAAGGTTGAGAACCGCTGGTCTAAGGAGTGGAGAGCGTTTTCAGGAGAGAGGGGGAAAGTTAGCATCTGCATTTCCAACCCAGAGCACTCCCCCTGATGGCTAATGATGTGGGGGTGTCTGCATATGCTTACTGGCCATCATTGCCATCTTTTGTGGGTTGAATTGTGTCTCTTCCTGCCCCCCCGCTCCCCCGCCCCCTGCCAAACTTTCTAACTCCCACAATGAGACCTGATTTGGAAATAGGATCTTGCCCAGCCGGTGTAGCTCAGTGGTTGAGCGTCAACCTATGAACCAGGAGGTCACATGCCCGGGTTGCGGGCTCGATCCCCAGTGGGGGGCGTGCAGGAGGCAGCCGATCCATGATTCTCTCTCATCATGGATGTTTCTGTCTCTCTCTCCCTCTCCCTTCCTCTCCGAAATCAATAAAAATATATATTTAAAAAAATAGGCCAGGATGAGATGCTGTCGTGGTCCCCTAGGCCTTCAGATTGAGTATATTATAATATTTTCTGTTAAAAATGTAAGAATAGCCCTAGCCAGTTTGGCTCAGTGGATAGAGCATTGGCCTGCGGACTGAAGGGTCCCAGGTTCGGTTCCGGTCAAGGGCATGTACCTTGGTTGCGGGCACATCCCCAGTAGGGGGTGTGCAGGAGGCAGCTGATCGATGTTTCTCTCTCATTGATGTTTCTAACTCTCTATCCCTCTCCCATCCTCTCTGTAAAAAATCAATAAAATATATTAAAAAAAGAATAAAAAAAGGTAATAATACGGAATTATGTACAAGTTAACCTGATAAGAATTTATGAAAAGCTCCATTTCCAGAGGAAATAGGGTACAAAAACGACATCCTGAAAATTCCTCCCTTTTATTGACGCTTGATTAATGTTGCACAGACATACAGAATCTTACATTATCCCCATTTTACCTAATAAGTACAAAGGTAAGTTAAAACTAGCGACTTGCAAATAATTAAAAATAGCTTACACACGGACTCATTCTCAATGCAGTAGATGGTCTGAAACAAATGTAAAGCTACAAAAGACTAAACATTCAAAAACAAAAAGAAAAAAAGGAGACTAAACGTTGAGATAAATCATATTCTCCCGTAACGCAATCATTTATCAAAATCACACGCAGCGTGAGTGTCACTCGCTAGATTTCAGCACGTCTAGCTGTGGGATGTTCTTTCCAGGTCACCAGGGTGAGGGGGGACACAGTGAGCCCCACACGGAGCCCAGTTCTTCGGGGCTGTGACTCCCGGGGGCGTAACTCCCTGAGGGGACCCTGCGGATCTGCATCATTCCTGAAACGGCGCTATCCAATGCGCTTCGGGTCTGGAAATGGTGCTGTCACTCAGACGACGTTACTCCCTCCAGTTGAAGCTCTGCGTTCTCTGTAACAACTCGGGTGCCTGTGACGCCTTAGAGTGGGGGCGGGGAACGTCCGGCCCGCGGGCCGTCTAAGGCCCACAGAGTCGTTTGGTCTGGCCCTGCCAAGGCATTAGCGGTGAGTTAAGGAAGTGTTTGACCCAATATAGCAGGCTGATCTTTATTTTAAAAATATATAAATATTTTTTTATTAATTTCAGAGAGGAAAGAAAGAGAGAGAGAGAGAGAGAGAGAGAGAGAGAGAGAGAGAGAGAGAAACATAAATGATGACAGAGAACCATTGATTGGCTGCCTCCTGCACGCCCCCCTACTGTGGGGGATCAAGACCGAAATCCGGGCATGTGCCCTTGGCCGGAATCGAACCTGGGAACCTTTAGTCCACGGGCCGACGCTCTATCCACTGAGCCACACCGAATAGGGCCTGATCTTTGTTTTGTTTTATTTTAAAATATATTTTTATTGATTTCAGAGAGGGAGAGCAAGAGAAACATCCATGGTGAGAGAGAAGCATGGATCGGCTGCCTCCTGCACGCCCCCTACAGGGGATCGAGCCCACAACCCAGACACATGCCCTTGACCGGAATCTAACCGTGACCTCCTGGCTCAAAGGTCGACGCTCAGCCACTGAGCCAGGCCGGCCGGGCTTTCAGTTGGTAACCGTGTATGGCCCGAGAATGATGTTACAAATCTCCCCCTGGCCCTCGGCCGAGGAAGGTCCCCCACCCCTGCTTTAGCGGGAAGACTCGGAAGTTGTGCTCCGGTTAAGCCAGCGGTTCTCAACCTGGGGGTCGTGACCCCTTTGGCGGTCAAACGACCTTTTCACAGGGGTCGCCTAAGACCATCCTGCATATCAGGTATTTACATGATGATTTATAACAGTAGCAACATGACAGTGATGAAGTAGCAACGAAAATAATTGTATGGTTGGGGGTCACCACAGCATGAGGAGCTGTATTAAAGGGCCAGAAGGCTGAGAACCACTGGGTTAAGTCAACACAAACGAGGCTAGTTTATAATCTGGTGAAGGCCGGCAAGTGGTCGCTGAATAGGTAGTTAATCTCATCAGGAAAAGCAGAAAACGGAGACCAGCAGAGAGGAAGTGACTGAGCAAGGGTCCCTGACATCGGGCAGCACTTTTTTATTTTATTATTATTATTTAGAATATATTTTTATTGATTTCAGAGAGGAAAGGAGAGGGGGGGAGAGAGAAACATCCATGATGAGAGAGAACCATGGATTGGCTGCCTCCTGCACGCCCCCTACTGGGGATCGAGCCTGCAACCCAGGCCTGTGCCCTGACCGGGAATCGAACCCGGGACCCTCCGGTCCGCAGGCCGGCGCTCTATCCACTGAGCCACACCGGCCAGGGCTGGTCAGCACTTTTTTAAAGAATTGATCTCAGAGAGGAAGGGAGAGGGAGAGGCAGAGAGAGAACCATCCATGATGAGAGAGAATCATCGATCGGCTGCCTCCTGCACGCCCACTACCGGGGATCAAGCTTGCAACCCAGGCATGTGCCCGTTGACCGGAATCAAACCATGACCTCCTGGTTCATAGGTCGATGCTCAACCACTGAGCCGCGCCTGTTGGGCGATTTTCCAATTTTCCTGATTTAAAAACTTCACGAGGATTTGTGTTAGCTCTCATGCATTTTTTTTTTCTGACTTTAAACAGCGCCACATCCTCCGAGTCAGCCTCCTCCTCGGCTAGGAGGTGGGCATGCTAGGAGGCCTACCCGGAGGAGGAGGCGGGTGCAATCTTGCGGAAGAACTTGTGTCCTCGGGAGTTGGTCGTTTCGAAGATGTACCCCGGCGGGGAGGGGTAGCTGGCCGGGCAGACCTCCCGCTTCTTGGGGGCGAACTCGGTGGAGTACCAGGTCACGTCGTCGAAGGGACTGGAGCTCCGCACCGCGGCCTGGGCAGGCTTGCAGCTGGCTGTGGGCACCAGCTCGTGGGGCACGTAGTGGGACTGGAAGGTGCTCACCCCGTCGAACGTCCCCGACGGGCCAGGCATCTGCTGCTGCGGCCTCATGGGTTCCCGGGGGCGGCAGGCCTCCCACTCCGGGAAGTCCTCCTGGGTTGTGCTTCTCCCCTGGAAGGGAAACTTCTTTCTCCGCTGGGACGCGGGCCGGATGGGGGCTGCGCGGGGGGCCTGGCGGGGCACCTGGTAGTCC